AAGTGTATCGCCCTCGAAGGCAACTATGTTGAGGAATAAATATAACTTTGCCCAAAAAATGCTTGTTTTCATTAAAAATCCCGGGACTTTTCAGCCCATGTAGTAGTACGTGACTATTATTGCAGCAAGGTCTTCAATTGAAAAAGATGTCCAAAATTAGTCCATAACACGTCCATAATAGGCCAAAATTGGATGTGTTTCGGACATTCTATGGACGTACAAAATTGTGACAAATGTACATCCCATGGATTGCCATAGGACGTCCGACGGATATAATTTGGACTTTCTATGGATGTCCCAATGTCCAAAAACGGATTGGACGTACAATGGACGTCCTTGTGCTATCTGGAATGCGATAATCAGCTTAAAAACTAAACTAATGACGGTACTTCTTATACAAATATCACATCTGATGACTGTTTCCCTTCATCTTTACGTATAGAATCATGGAATACATTATGCAGCGTTGCCATTCGCGTGTGTTCTCGAAAGAAAAGAAACAAGATCATCCGCATTAAGAAAGTCCGCAAGACGTGGTCGTAATTAAGTCTAATTTAGGACACAATTAGTATGAAAATTACCAAAATATTACCAATACTCGATCTCCTACTTGATCAAATCGAACTATGACCTTTTGGGGAAAATGCCTTCCATCTTCCATTACCTAATTAATACTATTAAATTACCGTCTTTTCACATTCCTCATTTACGTAGATTTACGTACGATCGACGTAGATTTGACGATCATTAAGTCAAATCTAATAAACTTTCGGACCTATCTGGAGGTCGATTGAACTTATTTTCGACTAATTTTGCTACTTGGGTCAACAACTCCGTGAAGGTATATTGGCATTCATCGTTGTTTTCGATATGTAAAATATTTTATCCATTACCAAAGAAATTCGTTGATCTAAAGGACGACATGCCTTGTTATCTATAGGCATACTTCAGTGGAAATCGTCGTAGCAGGGTTTATGATATCTGGCATTTACAGCCACCAAGTCGAATACTCTAACAATGCGTTTCATTACTTCTTTGGCTGTTCGATCTTTTCGGTTCTTCGAAATTTCTAAAATAGAGTTCCTCTTTGACGCAGCAGAAACATGGTGAATATGTCGCTGGTATTCCGCACGCTTTCTGTTTTCTTTCGTAATGTTTGCTTCTTCTCCACAGAAGAAGCAGTTTTTCGAAAAATCAAACTCAGGCTGCGTTGATCTTAAATTTCCTTTTTTAGGACTGTATGCTGACGTCGACGGTTTATTGTCAGTAGACGATTGCTTTAAATACGAATCGATGCTTGATTGCCTTGTATGTCTTCTGACATGCAATATGGACAGTTGCAGAGCCTAGTTCCTGAATTTGTTTCGATTTTCTATCCTTTCTTTGAACACTGCCTTCGACTAAACACTTCAAACCACGTATCACTGTAACTGTTGCACTCTTCGATAAATTGTCCTCGCAGATGAAACATGTATCGTTATCTGCCATTTTTACATACCACGTTCCAAGCAAAAATTACATAGAAAATATTAAACGTGCGTAGAGATACGTATCCAACGCTCGATGGAAACTACTTCCTACTGTGACGCAATGTTTATTTAAACAAACAAATGAGTTTTATTTACCCCTTCTCTAACGGCCCTATTTCTCGATTCTGATTTGTTTATTTACCTTCTCCCCTCCCGACCCTTCTATAATGACTCTTCGGCAGGAAAGCACGGTTATTTGACTCACTTTCATCCTACTATTTGTATACAATATATTGACCGCACTTTTTCTCGAAAACGGTTGGATTTATGAAAAAATTTCATATTATCTTTTTTATAGAGAATTTAATGCTCTTCAAATTTTATATAAAACATTTTTTCGTATATACAACTGTTCGTGAGTTATTTTCGAAAATCGATTTTTTGGTACCTTTGAATCAATATGGCGGCTTTTCCGTACAATATCGATGGAGACTTTTGTGTCATTATTTGTTATGCCAAAATAAAGCTCTCCTAAAAAATTTAGCTTCTCCGAAGTTTTTTCCTAGATTTGTCAATTTTAGAGCTAATTTAACAGGACTATCTTCAATGTTGACAATTTAAAAAAACTGTTAAAGTATTATATGTAAGAATTCTTAAGGTACAGTCGCGACAATAGCATTCAAAAGTTTAGTCCCGTCGCGGCGCTCGGTGGTAGTGATGCGAATTCCGGGCCGTTTGCAGCACAGTTACTAGCATGAAGAGAGCATAGACGGACACATAACGCATGCGCAAGTGTACACGGATATGAACTTATCGTAGTGTATGTACCTTTTTATGCCCTCTTCATGCTAGTAACCGTGCTGCAAGCGGCCCGGAATTCGTATCACTGCTCGGTCAGCTCGGTGGCGATACTTCACTTCCGCCAGAGAGAGAAAACTTTCGATTGTGCCTGTCCAAGGCCGCACACGCGGAAAGAAAATGAATACAGATAAGCAGATGTCCGCTGGCCGTCCCCTTTACTCTCCACCACTCCCTTCAGTCGCCGCCATATGCCAAAGAAAATCGAAACATTGCGTTCTTTTCGTGACTCTACTTTCTTAACTAAATGGTCAAAAATTGTGATTTTTTTTTACAATATCCGTTTTAAGTTCCACTATCATATATTCGTTTTTTGTTAATATCTCATAACTAATTTAGGTACAAAAATAAACGCGACATTTTCATGAACTTTGTAGAGACGACACGTATAAATAATGTGCAGTTTTTAATTGCTTATATCTCAGTATTGAAATGGTCAATCTCAATTATAATTGTACAAGCGTGTCAACGTCGTTTAGTACAATATATCATTTTAATTCAAGCCATTCTGAATATTTTCAATTCGCGACTGTACTACCTTAATGAACGAAAAATAATTTATTTGTAATATTTAAAATTACTCTTGCACAAATTATTTTTTTTAATATAATGAAAACTTGATAGAAAGAAAAAAAAGCTTGCTAGTCAAACACGCATTCTTATTTATATTAGTATCATTACCTTTACTAATGCCAAGACTAGTACCCAACCAAGGTTTTGCGATATCATAAACGATACTCTTTTCGACATGATTCGTGTTGCTTAGTATTTTCTGAAATTACAGAGAGTATTGAGTTAAACAGTATTTAATTTATACGCAATGCAGATAGATGATTTAATTGATTTCAAAAGTATTTTAAGTATGCAATCATCTCTAACAAAATTTGTGCAAGTAAACAGATTGCAACATAGAAGGTAATAACCTTATTTACTGATATAAATAATAAAAAAATAAAATATTTTTTATATTTTATTACCTCTACATCATCCGGATCAGTGATGGATACAAAGGGTATAAAGAATATCCAAACTTTAAAAATGACATACTGGTTAGTAAGTGTAACTATCTTCTTCCATTGTTCCTCTAAAAAATGTATATATATACATGCAAATTATGTTAATTCGTAGAATTATTATATTTATTGAAAAATATATAATTGATTATATCTTTATATTTTGTAGTCTACTAGCTATCAAATAACTTTAATATATTCGCAAAATGAATTTTATTGCAAATTGTAAAAGAATAAAATTTGATAAAATTAAATAATTTTTAAAAGTAATTAATATTCAATAATATTGGTAATTATACGTCTCAGAGTGGCATGTTTGTAAACAGTATATTACAAAGGCGAATATTAATTTACGTAAATGTGTAATTTTAATTTACCTCGTGAACCCAAAAAGTGCAATGTATTTCCAATAATTGGATAACCCAATTGTCCTGGTATAAGATTGATAAGTTGCCCGTTTTTTGTGTAGTGCACATAATAATTATACATCAATATAATGAGTATTAATAATAGCAATATGATAACAAGCATCATTATTTAAATAATTAGGCAATTTAATCAAGTTTTATTTTCTTCGACTCTCTGTTCCTTTAATTCTTAACGACTCGCTGAATCTATATTATGCGCTACAAGACAAAATTACATTAATTAATCTCAATGTTCGAAATATGTTTATTGAAAAAAATACATTGAAAAGTATAATTATTTTAACTTTGTCATTAAAAATTTTAATAAAATTTAATGTTTTTGGTTATTTTAATAGAAAATGTTCATAACATAAATGTAAATTCAATAAAAGCTTTTTAATTTATTTTTGTTAGACAATTTTTTTAATACTCAAATAATAATGTATAATACCTATCAGAGCCGACACAGGATGAAAGTGTGCAATAAAAAAATTTTTTACAGAAATTATATAAAAAATTATAATGTAAACGTTTCGACCCTTGTTTCGGGTCCTCTCCAGTACAAATAAAGTTAACAAAGTGAAACTTCTTAAAAATAAGATACATATAAACATTGTTAACATATTATTTTAATTTAATTTTAATTTTAATTTGTTTTTTTTTTTTACTTTTTATTTCTGTGTTAGTCCTAATTCTATATTTTCTCCTATTATTTCTTTGTTCGACTTTCTTTTCGTCTTTTTTTCTTTCTATCTTAACGGTTGCTAAACATCGAACTGTTATTATCGACATGTGTTTTGAAGGTGTATCTTGTCTCGGTTTTGACTTTGATCGGAGACACGTTCTCACTTCTTATCGGCAATCTGAACCGACGACTACTTTCCAATTGCTTTGTCATGTAAGCGATAACTTTTATAAATTTCAACATTGTTCTTTCACAATGTTCTTTATGAGTTAAGGTTTTTTTTTGGTGCAGTACATTTTCCAATCTGATGGCGGGATGCATATTTGAAACTCATGTCGTTTGGTTATTATTTTTCTTGATATGTAAGTTTTTTCCGCTTTCTATGTATTGTTATTTTGAGTAATAATGTTTCTCTTGTTTTTTGCTCAATTTGCGTTTGGGTTTTTTTTCTTTTTTCGCAGTAATTTTGCCATATTGATGTCATTGTCATAAGACTGGACACAATCCTCGCAATTTCTTGGTTTTTTATATGTATCTTATTTTTAAGAAGTTTCACTTTGTTAACTCTTTTGTACTGAAGAGGACCCGAAACAAGGGTCGAAACGTTTACATTATATTTTTTTATATAATTTTTGTAAAAAATTTTTTTATTGCACACTTTCATCCTGTGTCGGCTCTGATCGGCATTATACATTATTGTTTGAGTATTTCTTGAAAGCTTTTTTCTACTTATCAATTTCATTTTTTTAATTTCTAAGTATATTTTTAAAATATTAATAAACTCATAAGAAAATAGTAATATCTGGGTTCGAGGAATAAATCGAATGTATTCGCCGTGTATCCGCGTCCACGATAGGCAATCAGCCGCGCGACACGTCGCGCAGCTGATTGCCGCGCCGTCACGTGTACCCATGGTGGAAGGATAACATGTTGTGTATAGTTTGCAAGCATCTTTCTCTGAATCTTCGATCTCTCTGTCTGTGAATGTCGATAAAAGCCTAAGGGTTGTCAACTGTGAAACGCTAAACATGGGGAGATATTCATAGTCCGTTTTTATTTTAAAACTGTCTTAAGTAATGCCTTAAGATGCTAATACAGTCCTCGGATTGACTTATGACATCTTAAGATTGTACTTAAGACAGTCTTAAAAGCAAGAATCGACTATGAATACCGACCTGTTTCGCGCCGTGAAATTGGTACTGATTTTTTCTTAGGTTTATTTTCTGTTCCTGCACTGGTTGCACTAGTTTAAAAAGTATACACTAAAGCGTTTTCTGTACCCAAAATGGCGTCAGTGACGGTGTTTTTTGTTCCAGTACAACAGAACTCAGTGCGCGAGTTCACCGAACTGGCTGCACTAGGTCCTGAGTCAGTGTAAGCGGTGCAAGCATCGGTGTGCACTAGTTCAGCTACAGAAAACAGATCTCGCGTAAATTACGCATAGCAAATGGTGGCAAGTTCGAGAGTCCACGAGTAATAAAACGGTAAGTATATGGAAATAAAAACTGTTCTCGATCTAAAAGACTTATATTTACATTTCAATATATTAAAAATGCATACGTACAAATAAAAACCGTCACAATTAGCTAAAAATTGTAACTATTGAGCATCAAATTTGTAAGGTTAGAAAATGTCATGTTAAGCCAGCAGCACACGATGCTTGTTTTCTTGTTGGATTGCTAGCTGGATTAGATTCTTGCCATGGTATTGGCTGCGATGCTGACAGTGCCAGCAT